TCTTTGTCTTCCCCCATTTTCAATTTCTATTTGTCCCTTTTCGTGTCTTCGCCAAACAAAATCGCGTGCACATTTTGCCATAACCGCTGTTTACTTCTTCCTGGTGCTCTCTTTTCAATATTACATCCGTGTCATTACTTTTTTCAAGCTTTTGTGTACTCTTGTTGACTATAAATTTAGAAACCATCATAATTTTAGATGTTTTACTGCTTTATGTTAGTTTGCCAAATGGAAGTGCGATGAAATGAAACACTCTACTCCCCCCCCCCTCGCAAAAAGCAAAATATATTTAAAAAAAAAATTTTTTTTAATGATTAAAACCCAAAACATCTCTACCCTTGAACAAATTACAACAAGTGGAACAACAACTACGACACGTGACAGACAAACAGAAACAACAGACGAAAGGAAGAGATACAAGACCTACCAGTGGCACCCTCCAACCTCTTGTATTTTTCCCACTTGATACACATGGGTAATTTGGTAAGCAAACGTTTAAAAGAAAAACGAACTGAGATGAGAGAGGAACAATGCAAGAAATGAATAAAATATATTCAAAAAGCAAAAGGTTATACAAATATAGGCTGAACGCTAAAAAAAACCCCAAACAACCAACAACATAAAGAATAAACGCAATGCACCATTGGACGATACCGACGGCAACAAAATATAAGTCGAAGAGGCCGGAATGCTCTGGGAAGAAAGAGTGAGGGGAGAAAAAGAGAGAGCGACAGTGAGAGAGAGAGAGAGAGAGAAAGAAAGAGAGAGAGAGAGAGAGAGAGAGAGAGAGCGACAGTGAGAGAGAGAAAGAGAGAGAGAGCGAGTGACAGGGAGAGAGAGAGAGCGAGCGACAGGGAGGGAGAGAGAGAGAGAGAGAGAGAGAGAGAGAGAGAGAGAGAGAGAGAGAGAGAGAGAGAGAGAGAAGAGGGGGGATGGGGGGGAGGTGGAGGGGAAGTGGAATGTTTTTCTTGAGAGGGGTTATGAGTGTGCACATCTGAAACACATACCAGTTTGCGCATTCACTTTCATTGTTGGTATTGTAACTGCTGCTATTGAAGTTCAGAGCAACACGCTTTTGTTTCGCTTACAGTCAACTCAAATTTGTCTCATGGCAAAATGAGAGAAAGAGAACAACTATGAGCAAATCGTACAGTTGGAGAACATTCTCCTCTACTAACAACGAAAGTTCAAAATTGCTCCTCCAGGGATTCGTAATATCCACACAATAAGTAGTCTAGCAAGTTACTAGCAACGTACCAACTGAGCCATAGGTGGTGGAATCACAAAATGGGTTTGCTTTGTAGTACAAAAATCTTGAACTCGTAACATGGACCTCACCCGGCTCGACTGTATAACGTCTACACAGGAAAAAGCAGTTGATACAGCTATAATTTTTGTCCTTGCTTCTCTTGATTAGTTGTTTATTTTGTTTAGTTTTGTCAGAACAATTAGATTGGAAAGAATCGTGGTCACACATTTAGAACACCCGTACAATGAAACGACAGTGGCAGCAGCAGTTTACGAGACTTCGTGAACTTATTTTAGTGTCATGGCATTTTGACTACAATATGCGCATGACATTATTTTGTCCTGGACGCACAAGTCTTCCGTGGCCAGAGTAAAACGACCGGGTAGAAGTGCGTGTAGTGTTGGACACAATCCGTGTGGGATGGAGTCCCTCGGGGACACACAGAATATCCTCACGATGTCGCTGCTTTACTCGGACTTGCCTTTGAGCGCACACTAAACTGCGGACACCAATGACCCCTGATCGAATTCCAGATCAAGCAGGGAGTTTTCGCGACTTTGTGCAGTTTCGGAAGCGTTGTGTCGAAGATGGATCTTAAATCGAACGTACCCCGTTTGAGAAATTGTTCCTGTTTGTTGAGACTATACTAGATCAAACTACACGTACCAGTTTTATTTCTTCACAGAGGGGGAAAATCAGGGAAGGGGAGGGGGGGGGGGCGGATGGTGCGTTGGAAAAGTTTCCGGTATGTTTATTTACTTGTGTATTATGAAACGAACAGATGAAGAGCGGAATAATGTATATACGTATAGATCATGGCATCCAGTCTTCGTAGTAGCAATCATTTTTGTAACCCCTAAAATCGCTGATTTAACGTTTTGTTGTTTAGCTGGGTCGACATTAAGCTTTAAGTTTAAAAATGCCATGATGTTCAGAGCAGTTTGATCTTCTGATGCTTAGAGTAGGTTACCCACACCAAGTACTTAAGGTGTTTTATACATTAAAAAACATAACAAACTTCAAAATGAAACACCAGAAGGCAAGCTGACAGGGATGAGCCCAGTAGCTAGACTGAGATTTCTATGGATTGACAAATCAAGAGTCAAGGACAGACAGCACAAACTTTGAAGCTGTGCATCAGAGTGTCTATGAAGCTAACATACCCCAGTACAGCGTTGCTGGCAATACTTTCTAGCTGGTAATTTTTAAAGAAGATTTAAAACTGCGATTGCAATACTTTGTCAATCGAAAAAAAAGTTGTTCTCGGGCATTCTGTGCCAGCAATGTCTGTTATGTCACCTTGGAGGTGATATGATTAACACATTCAGGTATTTGCTGTGACATACAGAATAAATAAAAACGTGCTCACTCTTCCACAATCAAAACCCCTGCCGTCCAGCATGCTCCGACACGTACAAACTGATTCGAAAAGCTAATATTTTTTGTGAATAACTTTTGATTCCATTTGCTTTGAGCATTTACATTTTAAACAATATGACAGTTCTGATTAGTTTTTTTCGAGCACTATTTAACCAACGTTATAGATTGGGGAAAAAAGTACTTCTCCCCGGCACGGATGGCGTTTTTCTGCCTGTGTGTCTGAGGTTAAAAATAAACATCACAGTTCAGAAATATTTCATTGTAGTTTTTATTCTACTTTATTTGGTTCAACAATGCAACATCTCATTTTGATTTTTTTTTTGATCATACGAAAAATGGAAATTTCCAAAGCCGAGAAATGGAAAGCCAGGTAGAATGAGACCCCCCACCCTCCTCCCCAAAAAAGAAAACAAAACAACTTCCTCTTGTACCTATACAATATAAAATATGACGACGTAATACGAGACAAGTGTTTTACATTTAAACTTCACCTACTCATAAACGAAAAAAAGACAAAAAACAACAACCCACAAACAAAAACAAAAAACAAAACAAAAACAAAAGACAACAAGAAACCTCCCTCAAAGACATGCAGATTAGGTCCTACCACTTATGTGTGCTTCTATTCCGGTTTGAATTATACGTCTAAAGAAAATCTACATACATTTTTGCAATAAAACATCGCTGTGATGTTTAAAGTATAACAGCGCCCTTTTACTTTAAAATATGAAATCTCTAGATAGATAGATAGATAGATAGATAGATAGATAGATAGATAGATAGATAGATAGATAAATAGATAGATAGATAGAGATAGATAGATAGATAGATATTTCAAGATTATTTTATTAATTTGGACGTTGGCCCATATATCCACACATTATAACAAATGACTCGCCAAATACATAATGAGAGAGAGAGAGAGAGAGAGAGAGAGAGAGAGAGAGAGAGAGAGAGAAAGAGAGAGAGAGTGAGAGAGATAGAGAGAGAGAGGGAGAGAGAGAGAGAGAGAGAGAGAGAGAGAGAGAGAGAGAGAGAGAGAGAGAGAGAGAGAGAGAGAGAGAGAGGTTGCAAGCGCACGAGGGTTGGGGGTGGGGTGGGGGGTGGGGGTGGGGCTGATACAAAGCGTGTAAAAGAGCGTTGATGTAAATGTAACACTCAATTAAAATTTATTGAACCCTGTGGCGTTAGTAGCCCGCAGATCGAGGCCAGTACAACGTACGGGACACCCACTGAGTCAGTACGGAAGTTAGAAAAGAAAAATAGACTACTTTCATTATACATTGAACCTCCGTCTTGGTGCTGTTCAAGTTTACCCCAGCGACAAAAGGACACAAAAGAGAAGGGGAAGAAAAAGCTGCAAAGGGCAAAAGAAATATCGATAAGAATATTGATAGGTACATAGACGAATCAATCAGTCGATAAGTAAATCGATACAATTAAACACAAAGTAAGGAGGTGGTAGGCGGTGGTGTTCTGGACATCTTAGTTTAAGAAGTGGAGTCATACAAGTCAACGCTAGATCTTCGAACATTTATTAGTGTGCGCTTGCGTCTCTGTATTTTGTGTTTGTGTGGGTGTGTGTGGAAAAGGGGGGTTCGGGTTTCTTTCTCCCAGCTCCTTTTCCACTCTTATTTTAATCGTGTGCGAGCGTGATTATCATGTGCATTTGTGTAATTGCCAAAGGGGAAAATGAAAAGAAAAGAAAACAAAGAAACAAGAAACAAAATCTAAAACTAAACAAAAAGCAACAAAACCCAGAGCAAAAAGAAACACACACAAAAAAAAGGGGAGGAGATCAAACCGAGAAATACAGACACATTGTTTGAAATACCAGTATTACTACATAACTGTTTAAACCGCATCTTAATCGCCTAAAAACCCTTCAGGCCTCCATTTACCTTCGAAAAAGTGATGATTTCTATATTTTGTTTTACTTAAAATCCGTTAAAAATACTATTGTTGTGTAAAGCTAAAAACATCTGAGAGCTTCGTTTTGTTCGATGCGCACTTTTTCCGTTTCATGACAAGATTAACAGTCTTAGTCCAAACACAAATCGCACCAAGTTAAATAAAGTTACATTTTGGAGGGTTTTTTGTGACTTTATGTGTGTGTGTGTGTGTGTGTGTGTGTGTGTGTGTGTGTGTGTGTGTGGCCGGGGGGGGGGGGGACTATGAGTGTGCGCGTGCGTTGGCGTGCGTGCTTGATTCTGTGAGAATGATTGTAGCGCTGAAATGAAGAATGAAAGATGTGGGGAGGGGGCAACAAAAGTGGATTTCTTTCTTTTTAAAATTTTTTAAAAAAGAGATTCTCATAGATGCATAATGTTGATACGGAGAGAGCAGTCGAAATTTTCAACAATAGACTCACATTCCACAAGTGTGGCAATAGCAGAAAGCACGACAAGCTCCAGATACCTCATCGTCAGTGGAACCCACACACAGAAGACAGGTCAGTGTGTTAGTAAATCGGCTGACTGATCTTTTAGGGTTAGAGAAATATACGGGTATCTCCAAAAAAGTTTCTCTGCCTTGCCAACTTGAAAGCGCGCTCACACTCACGCACCGCAAGCACACACGCCCGCACACACGAAGTCCAACTACTTACGTCCTATCCAGGAGGACAGGAGAAATAAACTTAGCCACACGCGCATTTAGTGACGTCGAGAGAGCTCCCAAAGAAGGAATGCGTAGTATTTCCAGTTTCATTGAGGGTTGTTGCGATCTGGTCGTGTAGCGAGCGCGAGACACGAGCCAGGAGGTCCCCGTATTGCCACCCTGTTATGATGGAGCCGACTGCGGGATGGTGTGATGAGATGGCGCCCCGCCGGCCACAAGCCCACGTCTCTTGCGGGGAATTTCGTTTCGCGACCGGTGGGAGAAAACAAGGCTCGGTGAATGTTTTTAGAGCAGCCGGGCGCGGGTTGGGGCACTGACTGCTTTGTGGGACAAAGGGAAGAGGAAGGGGTGTGTGGGGCGGGGGGGGGTAAGTTGTGTAGGTGGTGGCGGTGGAGTTGATAGGTAGAAATTACGTAGTTACTGACCACAGAGAGAGAGAGAGAGAGAGAGAGAGAGAGAGAGAGAGAGAGAGAGAGAGAGGGGGAGGAGAGAGAGGGGGGGGAGAGAGGGAAGAGAGCGAGGCAGAGAGAGAGAGAGAGAGAGAGAGAGAGAGAGAGAGAGGGATGAGAGAGAGAGAGAGGGGGGGGGGAGTAAGAGCCAGAGACAGAGACCTCAACATTTCAAGATGATTTTATTGATTGTAAAATCCTTCGGCCCAGACAGGGTGGGAGGCAAGTCCTGAAAAGCACCTTCAATTGCTTCTGGATACTGTTGTGACGGAAAGTGAACGTAAGCGGTTACAATTATTTGTGCAGAAAACACAAAGCATGCCTGGTTCTTTCTACAAAAGCAGTAAACCTTTAATGGTAGTATAAATGGGAAAGATGTAAACAAGTTCACCAATTCAAATATCTTGGATACATCATTTCATCTGAATACCTCACTACCTCACATAATTAAAACAAAGAATCGCAATAGCTAAAGACAACTTCAATAAAATGATCCCAATCCTGAAAAACAGAAACACCTCAACGGCTACTATAATAAGAGTACTAAAAGCTTATGTGTGGTCAATCCTTCAATATATTTGAGGATGCAGGGCAATTTTCAAAGATAGTAAAAATAAAATAGAAGCAACGGAAATGTGGTTTGTTACTGTTAGGAGATTTTAAGAATTTTATGGACAGGAAAGAAACCAGAAGTACTGAAAGAAGCCCATGTGAGCTCCTGACTAATGAGAACAATTAGAAAGCGACAAACGGGGTTTCTGGGACACTACACTCAACACAAGGGCTTCAAACATTAACTCTCTCACGGTTTTCCTTTTCTACTTCTCCTTTTGCACTGGTGGCAAAAATTCCCCGTCGACAATACCCATCCGGAACAGATTATTTTTCAGCGATAAACTGAACGTTCTGAGAGTAATGACTGGAACCTTTTATTCTTGCTGAGATGGTGGACGAGTGGAACAGAGCAGGGCTCCAGGTAGGATGGGAAACCACGCACTCAGGTTTAACATCAGATACCTTAGAATGCCAGTCTTGTTGGCTAATGCTTATCTGTTTTTCTTTGATTTGAGAGAAAAAAATATTTTTACCACCAATTTTGGAGAAAAGCAAAAGAAAAACAAAAACAGAAACATGTACAGCCAAACCCTATTGTACACAACAGCTGTACCGCGCTTATTGGTCATGTAATTTACGCTTGCAAATATCGTTTCTTATTATAGCTATTGCCACCCATTGCAAGTAGTTTGTACCTATACTGTTTTGCTCATAGGTTCTCATCTACGAGCAAAACAGTATTGGTACAAACTACACATGTTAAGAAACGGTATTTGCATGCGTATTTACATGACAAAAACGAGCGGTACAGCTGTTTCCTACATTAGGTTTACAAATGGTGTACAGACCATGTCTTCCATATTATTATTCCCTCGCTGATACGATATTTGCAGATATTTGACTAGGGACACAAAACAGCCTTGCAGGAGTGAAAGAACACATGCTCAATTTTTTCATATTCCTTCACATCCTACGGTTCCCAAACGGACAAAATTGGGACTTAAATTCTATCGTCAGAAATGTTGAACGAAGTCTTGACATCCTGGTAAATGTTCAGAATCTTTTACCTGGACATCTCACTCTGGAAGGGAACATTGATGTTTCACAACATTTAGAGAAGGAGAGAAAGAGAAAGAGAGCGAGAAAGAGAGCGAGAAAGAGAGAGGGAGAAAGAGAGAGAGAGGGAGAAGAAGAGAGAAAGAGAGAAAGAGAGAGAGAACGAGGGCGAGAGAGAAAGAAAGAGAGAGGGAGAGAGAGAGAGAGAGAGGGAGAGAGAGAGAGAGAGAGAGAGAGAGAGAGAGAGAGAGAGAGAGAGAGAGAGAGAGAGAGGGAGAGACAGAAACAGAGAGAGAGAGATAGAGAGAGAAAGAGAGAGAGAGAGAGAGAGGGGGGGGGAGGGTTGCGGGGTAAAGAGAATGTTGTTTACCCTTGGGCAGTAATAGTTGGGTATTGAAAGAGAGATAAAGCGGAAAAAGTGAAGACAAGACCATCTATCTATCTATCTATCTATCTATCTATCTATCTATCTATCTATCTATCTATCTATCTATCTATCTATCTATCTATCTATCTGATTTTGTTCTGTCTGAGTACTGCAATGTGTCGGTTTTTTTTTGGTGCATTTTATGTGTGCATGTTAATAAAAATAGAGAAGATAGAGAAGGGTGCTGTCTGGAGATATCTCGTTCAACGGGAGAGACGGAACAGAAACAAAACAAAACAACATTAACTGGGAAAAACTTGCTAAAATAACGCACACTGAAGGAAGGCCTAGGACAATCCAAGAAAATGGGTCCGTCTCTTATTCTCCCTTTTACTTTGAAGGAGAGGGTAGGTGAGGGTTGGCTTTTTTAATCGGGGGACTAGATGGATTTGCAGGGTCAGTGAGATGTGGATTGAGGTGACCTCCTGACACGATGAACGGCACACTGAGTTACTGGCTTTGCGGACGAGAAATCGTCCCAGAGATTGGATACAGTTTGCTGAGGAAAAATGAGAAACTGAGAAGGCGAATGGCATTACTTTCAGATTCGTATCCTGAGTTAGTTGGTTTATAGATAAATGGTCCTAACGTGCTGGTTCCTTGGTAAATATTTGTTTTATCTTGAACAACATGATATCGTCCTCCTTAGGAATATAATGGCATTGCTGTACCTTGGTCGATGTCGTCATAAACGATGATTGTTTATATGAACTAAAAACTGATATTAGATCTAGACCTGCACTGGTATTTATTGTTTGCAGTGGCGGCGGAAGCCTAGTGGTCAGGAGAACGAGACTCGAAATAGTCAGATGGCGCGTTCGGAGTTGGAGCCTCAGTTCGGTCCCATTGTTGTGTCCTTTTGAAAGGCACTTTAAATGCACTTCTCATTTGGCTCGGCCTTTCGGATATGGCCGTTAAACTCGGAGTTCCCGCCTCTTAAATAACCTAAAGGTGTTGAGAGGGGCGTTACATCTATACCGTTTCATCATTTTTCGGGTGTTTGCAATGCTAATCCCCCCCCCCCCCACCAAAACAAACAGCAAAAACAAACATGCCCTCAATAGGCCTGCCGTGCTTTATAATGTAAGTATTAGTTTTAAAAAAGAAAAGAAAAAAGAAATGAAAGAAAGAGAGAGAGAGAGATAGATAGATAGATAGATAGATAGATAGATAGATAGATAGATAGATAGATAGATAGATAGATAGATAGAGAGAGAGAGAGAGACAGAGAGACAGACAGACAGACAGACAGACAGAGAGAGAGAGAGAGAGAAAGAGAGAGAGAGAGAGAGAGAGAGAGACAGATAAACACATGTCAATATAGATTTGTGGATAAGTGTATAGGATAGATAGATAAATAGATAGATAGATAGATAGATAGATAGATAGATAGATAGATAGATAGATAGATAGATAGATAGATAGATAGATAGATAGATAGATAGATAGATAGATAGATAGATATAGTGAGGGAAACAGCGAGAGGGCCAGAGAGAATGAGGGAGGGGAGAGAGCGATAGAAAGAAAGAGAAAGAGAGAGAGAGAAAGAAAGAGAGAGAGAGAGAGAGAGAGAGAGAGAGAGAGAGAGAGAGAGAGAGAGAGAGAGATAGACAGACAGGCAGAGAGAGAGAGGGGGGAAAGAAAGAGAGAAAGATGCACAAATTGAAATATAAAGACATGGAATGCACATTTATCCCCGGGAGACCAACGTCTTCTCAAAACATTGAACGGAGAGTACAAATATTATGGCGGGGAGTAAATTCTACCCGCAGTGAGCAAACCATTAATGTAAATATAGCGTAGAACAGTGACGGGGATGGATTACGAGGAGTTTCTGACCACGAATTGACCGTTAAGCTGGTTAATATATTCGACAGGAGAAAGACCCTCTTTCTCCACTGTCGAAGGCATGAGAGTACCTAGATTTTGGAGATAAGGAAGATGTATGCATTATTGCAATGGTCTTCATTTAGCTGTTACATCAGTGCGGGAAGGTTTTGCTTCCCAATGCTAAAGTATGCACGGATGCCAGGTTTACTTAACGATACTTTGACAGCAGCAGCAGCAGCAGAAGAAGAGCTCTAGCAGTCAATGTTGTTATTGTGTTGATGTTATTGTTGTTGTAATTGTTGCTGCTGCTGCAGTCGTTGTTGTCGTTGTTTTTATTCTCGTTGTTGTTGTTGTTGTTGTTGTTGTTGTTGTTGTTGTTGAAGACATAATCATTATCAAAATAGTTGTTCACTATTGTCGATAGTGTTGTTGCAGTTGCTGCTATCATTTCAATTACCATTGTTATCACGAATATTATGGTTATAAATATTAATAGGAAATGAGTACTAAAACTTGGAAGTAAGTACTTACACTCCAGCCATTGATTGTTCGGAGTGTTGCAATATGAATTTCCTATCAGCTCCCTCCACCTCTCTGTGCCCTCTGAACATTTGAGTGCTGCGTGCATCCTCAGACATGTCCATTCTGGAAAGACGCCCTCCCATCTCTTTCTCTACCTGCCTCTACTTTTTTCTCTTTGCAGTGTTCCATGTACAACTGTCTTTGTAAACACTTCTTATCGCACGATGCACCTGTACTACATAAGTGTTCCCTTCTTCAGCCTGGCCAGGAGGTCTTTACAGAGCCACTGGCTTACCTGATTCAATTTCTCGCTTCATTATTGTTGATGTGATCATTGTCTGAGATGTCTGAGAAATTGTGG